TAAAGCAAATTACTCAAATATATTTGTTTTTGGTTGTTAATCAAAATCAATTAATTGCACAGCCCTACTATGCAACAAAGTTACCCATGACGCCAATGACACGTTAAAAAATCATGGAACAGTCTTAAATTTGGATGCGATAATAAGCAAGACTCGAATTCGCATATTCGGACAAATGTTCTATACATATAATCGGGCAAAAACTAAGCGCCCCTCGACAAGGCGCAATGTCGGTTGTTGAATACTACAACCTAATAATTAACACTATTAATAAATAAATCAGTAACGGCGCATAGAAGTAATGCGGACATAACGATATAATTAAACAGGGATCATGCACTAAGGATTTTCATAACGGGACTAATGGCACCCTTAAGGGACATATTTACGATTTTACGCAAACGTCATAGCTGTGAAGCTGTGCTTTTTTGTGCTCTGATAAAATTTTACATTTTATAAAGTTGTTAACATTTAACCCAGATACGCCCAAAAGCCTTCCAGAAGGATTTGAAACATCGTTCNATTTAACATTTCGGCGAAGATTGGCTTGCTCCATTTTGGAGTCTAACAAAAGAATAGTTTCGCGGCGAGGTCGAGCTAGCCAGACAGCGCCGATATGATGGCAAAGACCACTATGTATGCAACTTACTTTTGCTGCCAACATGTAAAAAGCAACAACTGGTTTGTCGCAAGAGCTCAAAAAAAGCAACGACGAAATGCATTAAATGCAATGTGACATTGCATGTTGATTGCTTTATAAATTACCACAGGAAATAAAAATGTAACACCATTTTTCTATGTATGTATTTGCTTATTTTCTTTCAATAAAGCTATGAATAAAGCAACAAATATTTGTATATTATATGTAAATTACCACAAAAAAATTAAATCGTAATAACAATTTAACTATGTGTTTCCTTTTTTTCTAAAAAGGTATGAATAAAGCAACTAGCATGTTGAATTTATTTCTTTTACTAAAGAAAAAATGTTATAAAAAGTTATTGTGGTATTATCCCAAACACCTTCCAGAAGGATGGGGTTTTGTGACCCGGGGGCGGGGGTAAAATCTTAACAAATATAATTTCCCAGTTATTTGAAGGCTACTTAAGCAACATTACACCCTACACCAAAAATAATAATTCGGGTTTATCTGGGTTAATAAAGTAAATAATACGAAAAAAGTGTGAAGATTGAAGATAAGTAAAATATCAAAGTTTCCTGTAAATTTGATCAATTTAACTTAAGCCGTCATCGATTCGTCCCTTCGCTGCTTGCTATGTTTGAGTTCCTTAACAAAAATCGCTTAACGAAAAATTTTATATGTCTAAGCAACAACAAAGTTAGCTAGCAAGGATAGGCGATAGCGAGTTTGGGTATACCTCAATGAGTTCGTTCGTTTCGCCACTCGCTAACTGTTGGCGAATCGATGACGACTTTAATATTCTTAATTGCATGTGCCGAAGATTTACCAGATGCTCTAGCCAAGGCTCAAGAGCTGGAGTCCAAGAACCAAAGGGCACGATTCGCCCTAAATTTTGCTAATGAAAAAATTTAAGCAAAATAAAAATATTCAAAATAATAACAGAAAATTAAGTTTAGCAAATTACGCAGTACTGCTTCCGTATCAAATATTCAGCTTGTGTGCAAAAAAAAACGGACGCGCAATTTTATAGACAACATTAAAAGTGTACCCAATATGAAACCATAAACTTACTGGCATTTCTTGTCAACCTTACATATGTATGTATCTAACAGTCTTAAATAGAAGTTTATCCTTTCAAATTAGCAAATTGGGTTCCAAACAAGAAGATGTTTCGCGAAAATGCGTATAAATGCAAAAAAAAAAAACAATTTTAAATAAACTTAATCCATAAGCTAGCATAAGTAACGCATATATGCCTCATATAATAAAGATAAGCGTTACATTTCTATATACATAGTATACCTACATATATTACTTTTTGTTTATAATTGAATATTTACACTACGCAAATGTCAAAAAATTAATAAAATAAGTAAATAAATAAGTAATGAATAAAGTTTACTTGTTATCGGCAAACAGCTTCAGTAGTCCATTGGTGTCCCCGCCGCCGCATTCGTTGACACTGCTGCTGACGGCGATACCACGAAGAGTAGTGGCAATTGCAGCATAAACATTTCTTCATGATTAACAGCCACCGCTGCCGAGACGGCGACAGCAAAGTCGCGATTGTTATATGAAACGCAGAGTTTATTGCCGCCGCAAAATATATTCCTATGCGCATACCAGCGACGATGTGGCGGCACCACGCCCGCCGTTAACGGCCGATAACGATTGCTTGATGCTGCTGCGGCCACCGCTGTTGTTGTTAGTGTTGTCGTTGGCCACTTATTTACTGAGCAAGTTTTATGTTTACAGTAACTGCTTAAGCCCATCATATACAGCCCTCGTCATTCATCCCATAGACATTGTTGTTTCTGTCGCACATAATAGGTAAATTGGCTACATTTGCGACACGTCTTAATGCCGCAGCGATAGTTGGGCTGTGCCGCCGCCGATGAATCGCCGCCATTCTTGGCTTTGCAATATTTGAGGCCACAAGGATACCAGCCGATACAGGTTTCGAGCGTACACAGACAAGGTGCCCATAAGCCGCTCACCTCATTGCAACGTGAGAAGAGTGTGTCGGGAAATTTCTCAGCGGCCGCTTCCAGGCTAGAGATGGAGGAGCCTGAAAGTAGAGAGGGAGGAGTAGAAAATATTGTTAGAAACATCTGCTAAAACAAGAACAAACATGGATTTATAATTTCAAAATTTCCCAAAAAAGCACTAAGTAGGTAGTTTAATCAGGTTTGTCGGAAAAAAAGACAAACTCGCGGAGCGTTTCCAAAGCTATCAGAGCCTACGTTACACAATGTTGTACATATAGTGGTCGAAAAATTGTAGACGCGCCGCATATTGACAAGTTTTCAACAATAAGTTTTTTTTATACCCGAGCGCACTTGTGCACAAGGGTATTATAACTTTGTTCACATAACGGTTGTTTGTAACAGGCAAAACGAATCGAGATAGATATAGACAAATGTGTGCATAAATGATCAGGATCAAACGAGAAATCGATTAAGCGGTGACTGTCTGTCCGTCCGTCTGTGCGCACGATAACTCGAGTAAAAATTAATATATCTTAACGAAACTCGGTACGCGTACTTCTTTCGGACGTAGGACGGATGGTATTGAAAATGGGAAAAATCGGACAATAACCACGCCTACCTCCCATATAACGGTAATTTCCAGAAATACGAAACCTGCGATATTTTAGTAACTACTGAAGATAATTCACTCAAAATTGATATTTGTAATAATTTTCAGACGAAAAATAAGAATATTATAAAGTTTTGGAAAATGGGCGTAGCCACGCCCACTTAAGGTTACATTTGTATATCTTGGCAACCGCTGCACCGATTTCTTCAAAACTTGGCACAGTTGTTGGCCTTGGTACGGGATACCAAATCGCCGAAAATTTTTTAAATCGGAAAATAACCACGCCCACATCCCATATAACGGTAATTTGGAGAAATACAAAATCTTCGATAAATCATTAAATATTGAAGCTNAAGGTTACATTTGTATATCTTGGCAACCGCTGCACCGATTTCTTCAAAACTTGGCACAGTTGTTGGCCTTGGTACGGGATACCAAATCGCCGAAAATTTTTTAAATCGGAAAATAACCACGCCCACATCCCATATAACGGTAATTTGGAGAAATACGAAATCTTCGATAAATCAGTAAATATTAAAGCTGATTTATTCAAAATTGATGCTTGGAACAATCCTTTACCAAGAAATACGATTATGATAAAATTTTGGAAAATGGGCGTGGCACCGCCCACTTATGATTACATATTAGTATATCGGTAACCGTTCTACCAATTTGTACCAAACTCGGTATTTTTATTGTGCTTGCCACATAAAAGCAAAACGTTGAAAATTATTGAAATCGGACTAAAATTACGGCCGCTTTTCATATAGCGGTAAATTTCAGAAATGCTTGAAACTGCAATATTTCGAAATTTAAGGACGCTAATTTACTCAAAATGGATACTCCCCGGCTAACCATCTAGCGGTAGGTTTCGGAAAGGTGAAAAAACATTTATTTAATATTTGCGCCGGGTATTTAATGTTCGGCTCCGCCCGAACTTAGACTTTCTTACTTGTTGTTACTTAATTTTAGTTATTTTTTTAATAAAAATATGGTCGAAACGTCATGTAACATTTAAAACAATTCCACAAAATTTCGTACAAACTTCGGCGTTTTTAATTCGATTTCTTAAAAAGATTTTGAGTATGCAGCTTTGTAGCGCATTCAGTGACTAAAAATTACCGTTGATATTTTAGAATATTTTTCTGACGCATTTGCTTCCATATAACGAATAAACATGATTTATTTTTATATGGAAGAAAACCAAAATACCTTCGGCAAAAGTAAATTCTAAAAAAACCAACGGTAATTTTTAGTCACTTGAAACTTGTACTTTATTAAACTAGAATTAAATGGGCTACTCAACTGCGTTTATCTTTATTGAAAAAAAAATCACAAAATCAACATTAAAGCTGCCTTAACTAGAGCGATTTTCGAGTAGACTTTTTTGACGTTCAACCAAATTCCTTTTCGCATCACTTCTATGCCCGCTTTAAAAATAGGTCTTCTACTGCTCATATTTGGGAAAAGTTTTTTTTTTCAGCATGCGACTTTTGTCAGCTCGTGTAAATGCTTTTGCCAGATTATTTCTCAGTCAGTTTTCCATTTCGCAAAAATCAACCCGCGCAAAGGCAGCTTTTGGATTACATTTAAGTTGTTGAAAATTAAATTACGATAACAATATCGATATACATACATGTACATTAGGGCGGGTCAATTTTTTTTTCGACATCGTTACTAGCAGATTCGGATTCTACATAAAATTCTAAGAAAAAAAGCCCTTTAGACCATAGCTCTAAAATCAATTTCGAGCCTGCGCAATTTTAAAAGAAATTATTTTTAATTAATACTAAGTCCATAATCAGATTAATATTTACTAAAGTGTTAGGAATGTTTTTTTTTTTGTAATAAAGAATTGTGCTAGGGAGTTTTGTGATATGAAAAATTCATTTCTGATATGTATTTTTTATTTAAAGAACCGCAAGATGGCGCTTCAAAGCAAATCTACTATATATTTGTGGAAGTATGTATGTATGTATGTACCAGGTTGCAGCCTGAACGGATGTATAGAATCGAATAAAATTTTGCCAAACTATTGCCATGACTCCTGGACCTATAATAGGGTAAAAAAATTGAAACTCGCCAAGGGGGGGAGGGGATGAGGGATACCTCCCATAGTGAAAATTTTTAATTAGCTCTAATTTCGGAATTATAGTCACATGAACTCGAAATTTGAAATGCACAGATACCTATGTTAGGTGCTTATGGAAAGATATATGTATATAAATGAGTTTGTAAAAAGGGGCGTGACACATCTCATAGGTGTGGAATCTTTTATCAGCTATAATAGCAGACAGTATTAGTGATCTCATTGTATTGGATTTTGAAGATTTGTTACACCAAATGTTTATAAAGCTTGGGATTTTATGTTATCCGGGCAGGCTTATTAATTTAGCCAGAGAATATGTTTTCTTTATAAAGTTTACCCAGTTACCCATTTTAAACTGCTACCTGTACTGTATCAGCGGTTAAAACTTGTTAAATTTTTATTTAAAATTTTCGGTAAGGAATAAGCGAGTGGATGAAAAATATATAAACCGTAAGAACGGCCCATATATATGTATATGAAAGAATACACTCATGCGACGACTCTAGCCATTGTGTGTCATTCCTTTAAATTATAGTTATTTTTTTCTTATTGTATTAAAAAAATAACGTTCGTAACACTTTAGTAAATATTAATCCGTATATTAACTGAGTATATATTAAAGACTAGAAGATGACCCGGTGAACTTCATATCATCTATAATTTATTTGAATTTAACTTTGGTCAATTATAACAAAT